ACACACACACAGGATACTGAGAGAATAATTTATCGTAGAATACAACAAGCTATTCGTGAGTGTGCGTACAAAACTGAACAATAGAATTTATAGGTTCATGTGAAAGTACTCCGCGTTGTATTTTGCAAAAAATGTACTCCCTGTGTGAAGGAAAGCACTTGCACATGTACAAATCTTGCAGTAATATTTTTCTAATTCCGAACGAGTAGTGTGTGGAACAAAAATAATTAATAATGCTCATTTATAATTGCGTTATACGCTATAATGCGCGAAAATCTATTCTTATAATAAGAGTTACCAACAGCGTGAATAAAAAGAAAGATTCTTAAACACTGCATAACAGATTTTTTAATTCATTCAAAACAAGAGATTGTTTTTTAATTTTTTATATTTTTACTAACTTCTTGCTTTTTCAGACAAGCTAAAATACTGTTGAAGCTAAAATACCCTTTCTGCTTAACTTGTTTTTAAGCATGTAATTAGTCGTAAAATTATATTGCCATGAACAAACACACACACACACACACACAGACGCGTTCTTTCTCCTTCAAAGTTAATTCATTATAGTTAAACGAAGACCGCGGTCTGTGCGACAAACAAAGTGAACTATCTCTTGCAATAAAAATAAAACTGTTTAGAGAGAGAGAAGCTTGTCGAGTACATTTTTATTTGGTCTACCGCACAAATTAAAAATTTCGTTTGTACGTTGACAACGAGTTAGCCGGTAGCGCACAATGGTAGTCACGTTTCATAATAATACAGTGGAATAATTGCAAAGAATACCGTTGTAAAGAGTAGCACGTATAATCACTCTCTGTAAATTTCAAAATATTTATTCCCGTTATATACGCATTGCACTTATAAAGTTTAAAATTTACGAATCTCGCTTTTGTCAATTCTCCGCGAATTTAAATATGAAATTCAATTATGGAAATCCTGTGGAAGAAGAAAGACAGTTCTAAATATATATATATATATATATATATATATATTAATAAACAAAATTTTAATAAGCTGAATTTATAATATTAATAATAATTAACGAGGCAAATAACAGCCAAACGCACTGGATGTAAAATCCCTAAAGATTTATTGTTAATTAATCTTGAAAATAAAAACAGACGTTTCGATCCTTTTATAGGATCATCTTCAATATCTACATATAAATAAATTCACAAATATAAAGCTGGTACATTACAGTGGATTAAAATTGAAATTGACAGATGTGTGTTACAATTGAAACGAAATCAAAGAAACTTATATAAAATTCTAAATAAGATGACGCAGTGTGTCAGACTAAACTTGTCGAAAAACAATGACAATTACAACAAATCATAATGAATATACATATAGTTGATAAACAAAATAAACAAAACAGATAAAATTAGATTTTTTCATTTTGTCAATTGTATATATATTTCGTTTCTACGTTGCACACTTCGTTTCCATTATCTTTTAATTGTACTAATTAATATTGATTAATCAATTCCCCGTATAGATAATAAATCTAAAATTACCGCCAACGGCGACCAATAAACAGCGAATTCGCCGAATTTCCAATGCGCCCTTGCCGAATGACTACCCTCGCGCATGCACAATGTAATTACTCGCAAATATATAACCGCAGCTGTGCGATAGGGCCCCATTATCACCCGCTGGGGTGTCTTTTCGTTAAAGATCGCGCGTATTGTCCATCGGGAATCGACTTAGCAAGTGGGCCATCCTGGGCGGTAAAGGGCGCGAAACGGTTGACAGGGTGTCGATAACCCCCTGTAGCGCGGAGGAAATGGAAAGGCATCGCCAATCGGACTCATAGAATCTCGATAACATCGCCCTTTCAACGCGGAGGATGGTGGACGAGAGAGGCAAAGGTTGGATGCACTCTTCACGGACACCATCCTCCGACTCCCGTCATATAACCGGGTCCTCCTTCTCTGCCAACCGAGCCTGACTTCACTGGCATTTCGATTCTCAAAAGCGTTATTCGAACGTGATATTAAACACCGATGTGTGAACCTGGTGCCTGACTTAAAAAAAAAAATTTTTAAATATAATCCCAGCAAACACCGATATATAATTGTTACATTGCTATAATAAAACGGAATATAACTGGTAATATAACGTGTACGTTACATGTAAAATCCATGTTAGTTGTAATTTCCCACTTATAGATGTAACATTTTAATATAACATATATTACATTGTAGTGATATTGTAATTATATACTAAATAGCACATTGATGTATTGATAAGTCAGTGCTATCTTGGGATATAATGACAATATAACTACAATGTAATATATGTAATATTAAAAATGTTACATCTATGAGTGAGAAATTACAACTAACATATACGTTACATGTAACATGCTTAAGTATATAACATTTATATACTGTGTTTGCTGGGATCCGTTTATACCTTGTTTGTACTTGTTTATACCGTTTGATTTTTTGTTTGTACCTCAAAGGATTATAAAACACCGGGGGTTAAAAAAACGGCCAGCGCCTAACTTTAAGATATTTTATTTTCATTAACGGCATTCGAAAGAGAATCGTTTGTACCCATTTATACCTCCTTTAAAATCATTTGTATTTCAAAGGAACCGGAAGTACAGGCATTTAAAAATTCGTGTAAGGGGTAATTGTCATTCTTAAAAATATTCGAAATCTGCAAACGGGTACTGTTTTCTAATCGTTTGTACCCGTTTGTACCTTTCTTCAAATTGTTTGCACCTCGAAGGTGCCAGAAGTACAGGCTATTCAAAATTTGACCAAGAGGTAGTTTTGCTATTTTTTTAAATATTGAAAAACGGCCAATAACATTTGAAAGAGAATGGTTTGTATCTCGAATGGACCGGAAGTACAGTCATTTCATAATTTGTCCAAGAAGTAACTTTGTCATTTTTAAAGATATGCAAAATCTGCAAACGAGTGCTCTTTTTTAATTGTTTGTACCTGTTTGTACCTCTTTAATTTTCATTTGTATCCCAAAAGGACAGACATTGGTCAAATTTTGAAATGACTTCCGGTCCCTGCGAGGTACAAACAATTTGAAGAAAAGTATACAAATGGGTATAAAATATTAGGAAACAGTACCCGTTTGCAGATTTCGTAATATCTTTAAAAATAACAACATTACCCCTTGGTCAAATTTTGAAATAACTGTACTTCCGGTCCCGTCGAGATACAAAACTATTTATAATAATTAACTAAATAGTACGACTTTGAGTGCACAAATCATATTTGATGTACTTACTTTTAAATTGTATCACTTTGTAAACTTTAAAATATATACTTTATTATTTTATGCATATTTGAACATAGCATGTATAATGGTATAAAAAAAATTAAAAAATTGGTGAGTCGAGAAATTATAAAGTATATTGGTAAATATATCAAACATTATTAATGCACCACAAATTGTAATTAAAAATAAATAAAAACACTATACTGTAAGGTATACAGAAAACTAAATGTAAATATGTGCATGTATTACATAGTAGCTCTCTTTTTATATTCTAATTGATTAGTTATAGGAAGTTTTTAGGATATATTAATTGTTTTCCGATTTTAGTATATAACGGATTTCTATCTATTTTTCGAATTTTTTTATCCATGTTGCAACACTGTTCTATAAATTTTATTTTGCTAAAATAGATTCGACATTTATCATTAAAAAATAGTAAGAGATAATGAATAATAGAGAAGCAAATGAAATGATAAGATAATTTCTTAATATTAAAATTCATCGCGTTAATTGGAAGAAGTATATGTTATACGCGAACTTTTTAATTTGATAACAAATGTTTTAAAATATTTTTTCTCTTTTATTTTTGCTTATATGTTTTTAAATATAATTGTAAGTTACAATTCAGATTGACACATTTTGCAGTATTTGTAAGTTTATTAAAAATATCAGCAAGGAACAAAAATAATTTTATAAATTAATATTAAGATTATTAATATTAACATTAAATTTTATTTAAAGAACTTTTTGAAATTAGAATATGGGGTTACACAAGAGAGGGGAACGAGAGAGAGAGAGAGAGAGAGAGAGAGAGAGAGAAGAGAAAGAGATAAATTGTGTTATGTGATTTATTGTAAACTAAAAAATGTTAATCAATTACAAATTTTAGATTATAACATTAAATGTGTCAAATATTTAATTATTGAACATATATCACAAATAATAATTAGTTTACATATAACGTTATCGTATTATTAATTCTTATAGTTATAGAAACTTATTATATATATATATATATATATATATATATATATATACATTTACAAATTATTATAATGTATTAATTATATATTTAATATATAATATGATCTGTATATCTAACGTACGCAATATATAATATATAATATTATTATTTCAAATATACCCGTACACACACACACACACACACCCACACACACACACATATATATATATATATATATATATATATATATACGCACATATATATACATATTTATATATATATATATATATATATATATATATATATGTATATAATAAAAATAATGACGAATTTTTATACATATAAACATCTCTTGTAAAAATTTATCACTAGTAACGCCAATTAATCACTTATTTCGAGTACTTAAAATACTGATATACAGTAATTTAAGTACTTAAAATAAATAATTAAGTACTCGAAATAAGTGATAAATTGGCGTTACTAGTGATAAATTTTTATAAGGAATAAATATGTTGGCTGTAAATTTTTATAATATTTAAATACTAATTCGTTATAAATATATATATGTATGTTTTGTGTGTGTGTTTGTATGCGTAAACATATAATTTTATTAATTTATGTAAAAAATTAAAAACAAATTAATGTTTAATTCAAAATAAATAGATAGTACATTTAGGTGCATTTATCATTTATAACAAGCATATTTATATATTTATATTTACACATTTATATTATTATATTATATCCAACAATAGAATTTATTATAATATTATATGGATATTTTCTTGTGACTACACAGATAATAATATATACTTCAACTACTTCAAGCAAGATCGCAAAAAAATGAAAAACTTAATGCATGCAGTCATAAAATTTTGTAAATACAGAGGCAGCGAATAGTAATACATCTAAATAAGCAATAATTAAAGCAGTAAAAAAGTAGTACAATCAATATAAAAAAGTATTCATATAAGTATGTCCAGAGGCGGATTTATATAGACCCTTACGATGCTTAAGCCTCAGCGCCCAAATCGGGGAGTGAATCCTACTAAATACTTTCGAAACTTATTAGGATCAGGTTCTAAAGGTGGCATGCTTAATATTAGCTTCAATATTAAATTCTTAACGTATAATCTCGATCTTTGTCTTTCGGTTTGATCGTCCCGAATGTCTATCTGGCGTCTAATTCGGTCATGTATGTTATGCTCATTTATCTTAATGTAACCCTGAAACAAATCGTTTTATTAATTATAATATAATTAAATAAATTGTAATCTCATTCCACATTATGAAAATATAATATATATAAAATAAACAAAGATTTGCACAATGAAATCAACATACTTTTTATATAACAAATAAAACAAACATAAAAATAATATTCAGAAATTGATAAGATAGAACAATATTTCTTTTTCTTTTGCTTTCCATAATAATATTTATTAAATTTACCTCATTTATTTGAAGTATTTCCTTTGTTTGATTTTTTTTCTGACTTTTCAGTAAATCTTCTGTGTTATTCACTTCAACTAAGTTAGTTCCTATAATATCTCTAACGCTATCTAATATTTGCTAAAATGTATTATATTTCTAACATTATCAAAATTATTTTAAACATTAAATAATAATTATTAATATCGCATTATTATCACATTTTGTATACATATTTAAACATGTAAAATTTTTACCTGAGTTAGATTTACGGAATATACATGTATGTTATTAATAATAATAAGTAATGCTGCAGTTGTACTAACATATCTGAACACGAAAAAACAAATGTATATATAAAACATATAATAAACTTTTGTACACAATATTTATAAAAATATGCCACATTACTTTGGTTTTATTTCGTTAAAATGATCTAATATGTACTCCAGTATAATTTGATTCTTCGCATGCTTCGTCATAATATGTAAGAAACTGTTAAAAGAATTTGGATATTCCTGTTTTGTAGAAATGTTTTGATTATATCTTAAATACTTTTTAATGAAATTAATATCTTCAGGGCAAGCCAAATATTCTAAAAACTTAGTGTCAGATTTATTCAATCCTATATCATACACTGATTGCCATGTGGTCTCTTCTTTGGTCAACATCAAACCATTACAATATGTCCATTCCTTCCACCATGGCAAAAGTCTATAATATAAAAAAAAAAATTTTCTTATTAAAAATTAGCATGTGATCAAATCAAATCATTTAAACATTATGGAAGATACCTATAAGAAAATTTAATTAAGAAAGGCTAAAAATATATACCAATATTTACCTGTGTGTTTTAGGATCTTCGATATGTTGTTTTAATTTATTGTTGGCTTTTTCCTTACAAGTAATGTCACCGAGAAAACATGCCCATCTTGCTACTTCTTGTTGTAAACATTTTCTAAGGTCGTCATTATCATTAATTTCTTCATATTTGATTCTTTTAAATGTCCCGTTTAATTTATCGTTTATGTAATTCTAAAAATCGTTAAATATATATTTCTTGTTTATATTGTAAATGTATTTAAAAATTATTAAAATCTCAAAAGATTCAAATAAAGTCGCTAATAAAATTATAAATAGTTTATTACAGTTTGATCTAACTGGTCAATACAAATCGTATTGCACACAACGTTTCGGCCTTTAGGTATCAAGTGGTGCTTTCAAAATGTCAAAATGAAAGACGTGATATTGAGTAATATACTTGATAAGGGCCTGTACCCAAAGGCCGAAACGTTATGTGTAATACGATTTGTACTGGCCAGCTCTTGTAGAAATTTATCACTAGTAACGCCAATTAATTACTTATTTCGAATACTTAAAATACTGATATACAGTAATTTAAGAACTCAAAATAAGTGATTAAGTACTCGAAATAAGTAATAAATTGGCGTTACTAGTAATAAATTTCTATAAGACATAAATAAATGTTGACTGTAAATTTTTATAATATTTAAATATTAATTTGTTATAATTATATATATGTATGTTTTGTGTGTGTGTGTGTCTGTGTGCGTGTTTGTATGCGTAAACACACATATAATTTTATTAATTTATGTAAAAAATTAAATACAAATTAATATATAAACGCGAGAGTTTATTTATGCACGTATACATACGTTTAAAAATACATACATATATGCAAAAATATTGTTTAATATGCGAAATGTTTATAATATTTAAAAGATATTATTAATATTATTGAATGATCACTATCATCAGTTTCTTTATATTTGATTCTATCAAGTACCCCGAGTAATATGTCCCTTACTCTAGACTAAAAATCGTTAAATATATATTTTTTTCATATTATAAATGCATTAAAAAATATTTTTTCTATTAATTTCCAAAAGATTCTTAAAATTTTCTCTATTTTTGAAACAAAGCAGATAAATTCTTTGTATTTGATTCCTGTAAGTATCTTGCGTAAGATGCCGTTTATTCTTAAAAATCGTTCATAAGAATCGTTAAATATTTATTCCTCTGTTTAATTAATATTTTTACGCCCGCGTTAAGTCCCAGTGCGACTTCCGGTCGAATGTCCCTGGACTACGAATTACATCCCCTAAAATGCTGTGTCCGCGGAGCGATTCCGCTAATCACTCGGATGCGACACAATATCTCACGCACTCACTCGCCTCCGGAAAATAAAAACACGTATTTATGAAAAGAACAAAGAATTTTAATGAGGACACGAATACAAAAGATAATTAAAAGGCAAAATAGCGAGGAAGAATCGTAATGCGTAGACGTCACAGTAAACGTCCAAACCGAACGACAGCTGTCAGACGATTGCGATGAATATCGCACCAAAGACAATATACTGCTGGTTGTTTAACAACCTCCACAGCAACCATCTCCAAGTAACATAGATAGATGTAACTTGAAATCCAGGACATTCGACCGGAATTCATACTTGTGCTTAACGCGAACACAACAATATTATATATATGTACTTAAAAATTATTATATTTTTTATTATTTTCCTACAGATTCTTAAAATTTTTCTTTCTTTGAAACAAACATTCGTACAAATTTATTTACATTAACGTGAACGTTTATCTATGCACGCACATACACTCAAATATATATACATATGTATGCAAAAATAGGGATCCCAATTGCCTACAAATTGATTGCCAACAGCATTGAATGCCAACAGATCATTTGCTAACAAATTGGTTGCTCACAGAACTTTTTGCCTACAAATCTATTGCCTACAATCTCTTTTGCGCACAAATAATAAAATTTAAGCATAAACGTACATTTGCACACACGATATTATTGCGCACAAGCTGCACTGCACACATGATATTATTACCTACAGATCGGGTCCCCGAAAATGTTATTTTCCTGGCCCAATGCTATTTGACTAAACCGCTGTCATTGTTATATAGTATTTAGCATACACTTTTTCACTCGAGAAAGAGATTCCATATGGGTTTGCAACATTTCACGCGAAGCGAGGGTCAACCCAAATCTTATATATATTATATTGTTTTATCTATTTTCAGAACCCAAAAGGGCTGCCATAAACTTGAAGTGTCCCATTCGAAATAATATCAACATTTATTTCCATTTTCCTAAAAAACGTTCAGGCAAATGCTGTTTGCCTAAAAAAATAACATTTGGACACACATAAACAGGCGAAAGCCATTTGACCAGGCAGATTGTATTAACCTACTCAAAAGTCATTTCTTTAAAATAACAATTTGCCTATGACAATATAAATACAAAAAAACAATTAGAAATATGTTAAAAATTGTACGTTTTACGTAAATATTACAAAAAAGTTTTATTTTTAAAGAAGAAACAATCGCTGACATAATAGTATCATGTGTGCAATGTAGCTTGTGTAATAGTTTGTGTGTGCAAACGTATGTTGTCTTTTAATTTCTTTTTGTGCGCAATAGAGCTTGTATAGGCAACCGGTTTGTAGATAATAGTGTGCAAATACATATATTTGTTTCTTAATTTTTTTATTGTTCGCAAAAGAGGTTGTAGGTAATAGATTTGTAAGCAAAAAGTTTTGTGCGCAAACGATTTGTTTGCAAACGAACTGTTGGCAATCAATTTGAGGCCAATTCGAGCTCTTTTCAAAAATATGATTAAATTTGTGTGAAATGTTTATAATTATAATTCATTGACAAAGAATTTTAGGCACCCAGCTATATAGCCAATAACAATGGTATATATCAATAATATTGGCGGTAGTGAAAATCATACATTTTAGAGCACAATTCAAACTGAATTTGTATGCACACTTATTTGCAATGTAATTAATAGTATGTATAATTTTATCGTTGCGGTATATATTTTCTGAGTATTTAAACTTATATAATGAATGAGTGTATATATACCAATATCTGAAATATAACAATTTCATTGAAATCTATTAATATTTACCTTGAGATTTCCATGTTTTTCTTTCAACACTACCAGAGAAGTACTGAACATGTATTCCAGAGCTTTAAACATAGGATACCACGCTATATAATCTTCTTCTCGATTTAGATACGATATGATATCCCAGAATATAGATGAATTAAGTTGTTCTGCTATCATTAAATGAAATGCATCATCGATAATTTGGGCACGATTAAGAACATGAATTTTCGTGTAATCATCATGGTTTAGATAATGTGAAATTCTTCGCCAATTCTCATCATCATAGTTCACGCGATAATATCCTGTCAAATAGTGAATAAATTTTATAAATATTTATTATTTTGAATAAGTTTATCATTATAATGTATATTTATTATCAAACATTTTGGTTTCATACTTTTGTTTACATCAATTATAAATTAAAAACGTATCAAAAATTTAATACATATAAATAAAATGCAAATACATATAAAAATTAACTAAAATGAAAAATAAAACTGTGCAAGATATTGTTGTATAGAATAAAATAAAATTATTTCTAGTTGTGAATTCATTATGTAATATTTATTTTTATTAATCAGTAAAATTTCTGTAACATGTAACTTTACGAAAATTGTATGTTTTACTTGTACTTATTATTATACTAATTTTATAAATATAATTATCTTTTTATAATTTTTGTTTATATTAGAATACAATATTTGTAAAAATATAACTTTAATATTAATTGATATTATAGTGGAAAACGCCGATGTGTATATCTTAATTATATATAACAATGCAGAATATTATACAAAACATTTTAAAACTATAGCATTTTAATATTATATAACATTTTAATATTATAGTTATATAATAAATATCTCAGATTTTTATAGGACAATGAATAAAATAGATAAAAATATAAAATAATGTCAATTATGTGTGTGTAAAATAAAGATGAGAAATAAGTCATAATAAGTCCATTGGTCGATATTTACCAATTTGTTGTATATTGAATATAATCCAACCAGTCTCTTTAGATGCTAATGATAGTTTTAAATCCCTTGACATGCATACTATATGATGAGTAAAATTGTTAAAATCGGGAGATGTTTGTGTAGTAAAAGTTAGAGGAACACAGTCAATATGTAATGTGTCGATATTTTGTATCGATACATTTGCTTGGCTCATAGCATCCTCATAATTTCGTATTATTTTTATGATAGGACATTGTCTATAAGTCATTATGTCTAGAGAAATATCTGGTTCTATTGCAGGAATAACAATTTCTTTCCAAAAATTCAGAATGGTTCTAAATTTACACAGTATGTAAAATACATAAAAATTTATTACAAATATGTTAAAATTCTCTGTATAATGTTAATATTATAAAAATTTTAATAAACACTAACAAGCAAAATATAAAATTGCACTTCTATTTATATATTTATATATGTTATATTTATATCATAATAATAAAAAAATATAACGTAATTTTAAACACAATTTATAACTTTATTAAATTTTTCAGTTTTCCTTCTCTCTCTCTCTCTCTCTCTCTTCTCTCTATTATTAGCATTAATATAGATTATATTTGAGCAAAGTATTGAGAGAGTTATAAAATGATTAGAAGAAAAAGTAAAACGAATAAAAAGTTGAAAACAAAACAAAAATTAAGTATGTAATATTTAGAAAAATATATAAAGGAGATCAAAATCAAGTATGTAATATTAAGAAAAATTATATAAAGGAGATCGATTTACGAAAGACGAAAATAAAAATAGAGAAGTGATAAAAAAGAGATATAAGTGTTAAATATTTAAAAACTTAAATAAGAGATTAAATAAGATTAAAAAACAAATGTAGCACAAAATGCAATTAAAAGAATAAAAATTATAAGAATTATAGACGATATAAAGAAATAAAGGAAAAATAAAAAATAAAAATGATTTAAAAAATTATTTAAAAAATAACAAATCATGAAACAAAAATAAAACAACAATGTATATGTATATGAAAAAGTGACAATAATAAAACATCAATTTCTTTCTACAGAAACGATTTTCATAAGAAAAGTAATAAAATTAAAAATAAATCTAGAAGCAGCTTTGGAAATTAACGCAATTGTTAGACTAAAAAAAACATAAGGAAAAAATGTCAGAAGAAGCCAAAAAATGAGGGACATTTTATAAAACTTCTATTATTAAATATTTATGATATGCAATTTTATTCTTTTGATATTATATTTTATATTGAATTACTCACGTTTTATTTATATATGAGCGAATGTGTTTCCAAAATATATCTTCAGTGAAAGCGTGTTGCATCATGCGCAGTATAAAGGGTGCTACGATTTACATCAAAATTATAAATTAGAGATATATCATAAATATACAATTACTATAATAGTTACTTGTAAACATATTGATTTTTAAATGAAAAATGATATATATGTATACAGGGTAGTAATTGTATAAGAATAAAATGTTTTTATTGCCGCACCGTTTATCATCCTATTTTATAAATAAATTTCTCGGTAATACTTAGGAAGATAGCAAAACTTTATAGGACCATTCAATTAATTCCTTTTACCTACATATACGCGGCTATTACCGGACACTGTGATCGTGTATATTATATAATCTCTAAAAACTCACCTTTAAAAAAGGTAAAAAAAGGCGACCAGTTAAGGGCACGCCATTAACAAAAATTATCCATTGCAAACCCATGTAGAATCCTATCCTATTGCAAACCCATGTAGAATCCTATGAAAAATTAATCATTGCAAACCCATGTAGAATCCTAGGCAAAATTAACCATTGCAAACCCATGTAGAATCGTACCCATTGCAAACCTATGTAGAATCCTATGAAAAAATAACCATTGCAAACTCATGTAGAATCCTATGAAAAATTAACCATTGCAAACCCATGTAGAATTGTATTAAAAATTATCCATTGCAAACTATGTAGAATCCTACATTGCAAACCCATGTACAATAGAATTGTATGAAAAATTATCGATTATAAACCCATGTACAATCGTAACAAAAGTAATGAAATAAAAAAAAAATTGCGCCAAGTGAAAGTAGAAACTTGTACCAGTGGAAAATTAAAGTTGCAGACATATATAGAGTCGTATAATGAATCAGTAAAAATTTAAATTTGCAAATGTAGAATCGTACCATAAAAAAACTTATCTTTTAAAAAAAAAGATAAACAAGATGCCAAGTCCATGCGCCATGTGAAAAAGAAATAAAAAATTTTAGTTAAAAAAACTGGGCGCGCTGCTAAGTTTCAAAATTACAATGCACCTTAAAGTAACATTAATTAATTTAAACACAAAACATATTTTAACTGTAATGAGTTTAAAAGTAACAATTTAATTTTAATATTGTTAGAATATTATTTAGCAGCGCTCCCAGTTTTTTTAACTAAAATTTTTTTGTTGTCTACAATGTCTTATGTAATTGCATATTGTATCCTTTTTAATAAACATTTATTATTTACTTACGTAGTTTCTTCTTTCAAGTTGAAAATTCTAAAGACTTCACCAACAGTAGCATCAAATTTTATATTTAAGGTGTAATTTCCTGGTGATAATTCATCCATAAAGGATATATCAGTTGTGTCTTTTTCATTAATTACAGTGTAATTATTATATATCGATTTATAAACTGCATTTTTATCATTGTCATGATATTTTTCAAAATTTGTAAATAGCACTATTATATTGCTAATATTTAATCTTTTTGAATGTAAATATATGTGATGCGTTTTATTAAGAATACTTATGCTGATATTGCATTCTCCAAAGAAAAGATTTCTTCCAATTCGTGATGTAAACTTCATATCGTAATGTATTGGTTTTACATATTCTGATGGTTGATAGCATAAAGATTCATTACGAGTGGAAGCCGTCGCAGCGATAAAAATTAATCCACTACTTAATAATAGTTTTAGAAATAGCATCATGTCGAAGAAAAAGAATATTTACTTTAGATCTCTAAAACACTGAACAAAAGATAAATAAAGAAATTAAATATTGCTTAGATGTCTTTTTAAATGATTCTTGTATATAAACAAGACATAAATACAAAAAGTATTAGAATTTTTAATTGGACAATCATTCTAATTAGCAGAATATTATATGGTGAGGAAGTTATATGCAAATTTACATTTGCACAATTTTTAAATATAATTAAATATGTATATATATATATATATATATATATATATATATATGTGTGTGTGTGTGTGTGTGTGTGTGTGTGTGTGTGTGTGTATTTCAGTGTCGCACATAGTGTACTTGACAGCAATACAGAAATATGGAATTTACAACATATTTTATATTTTTTTTAAATAGTTAATCTCATTGTCAACAAATTATACACATTTGAATTTATAGAATGTTATTTATAATATAAAGATTTATAGTATATAAAGTTAGTTGTTTTAAGTATTTTTATTTACATATATACTTGTGTGTACGTGCAATTGAAAATAAGAAGAAGACAGCAGAGATCAGAAAAACTGAGGAGCGGCGAGAGAGAGAGAGAGTGAGAGAGAGAGTGAGAGAGAGTGAGAGAGAGAGAGAGAGTGAGAGAGAGAGAGAGAGATGGAGCACATGTTTATTATTATGTTCCTCGAAAATCTGTTTGATTTCTTTTCTTATACTGTGTATTATGAACTGAACGGACATTCACCGAGAATTAAGCCAACATAGATTCAATTTTAAATTATATCTATTATAAACCTGATAATAAATATTACAACACATTTACAATACATTTAATTTACATATGTAAAAACTTTCAGCTTTAATGGTATCTTATTAAATTTATATGAACTATTTATTATACGTTTTAAATTTAATATTAACATGCGTTTTGTACGTTTTAATTCAAATATTTTACGTAAAAATTATTACGTAAAATATTTAATATTTTGACTGTTTATAACTTATATGATTAATATAATACTACTTATTTTTAAGTTTTATACTTATGTTTATTTTTTAACTTAAAAATTAATTTGTTTAAACTTGTTATAATATATCGCCGTCATAAAGGGATATATCAAATCCAAATTGAAAGCAATAATAATTGTTCTACTTTTCATTTTTCTAAATTACATACATTATTTTTAACAACAAAAATTAATATTTGATTTTCATTCTTGTTACAGTTATTCTACTCAATGTCAGTACAATTTAAAAATCATTTTAAATATTAAAATATACGTACAGATATTTTATTATAAAAAAGATAAGTACAATAAATTTTGGAAAACAAAATTTAATATTCTTGTAATGAAAGAACAATTAAAAGTGTCTATTATAATATTTATTATCTGTTTTGTAGGACTCGAATAAATTTTATTATAATATTTATATATTTGGCCGACGTGTTTGTCTCGTCATGCGTGTTCTCG